ATTACTCGTGGTGAGCTATTTCTGAGTTCATGTGGCTCGTCGTCGAAAGGTACTATAAGATAAATACATAATTAAAATTTTGCAATCTTTCTTTTTTTTCTTTTTTTTTTAGAATTTTATGTTTGTTCCACTTTAATTTAGTTTAATAATTTACACTTTGTTTTAGTATTCATGTATTATTATGTTAATTAAATTTTGCAGGAAAAATAGGCCGAAATTGACCAAGAAGATTGCCTTGCAAGCGTTTGTTTCTGCATTGTTTGGGTAAGTGTCGAATTTCATGGGTTTGCGTGAAATTAATGCAGTCGGACTAGGGAATTAAATTCTATTAATTTATTGAAATGTTAAATCATCGGGTTAATAATTCAACATGTTTTCATCAAGTTGGGATCGAGAAAAAGATATTATTTAAGCGAGATTATTAATTTATTAAGGTTATATTGTACTCGAAATTGTATTGTTTTACCTAATTAATTATAAACAAATAGAAAATATTTTTTTTTTACAAACAAAAGTGTAAATTAATAATTGATAAATTAATAGACTCGAAATCAGCAAAATTCTATTAATTTAACGAAATATTAATTTACCGAAATATTTTTTAACATGTTGTCCTTGAGTCAGGACCGAATGAACATATTATTTAAACGAGGTTATAATTTATCGATGTTGTACTGTATGTTAATATATAATCTTTGCTACAAAATAGTATTTTCAAAAACTCAATCACTTAATAATTAATTATTATAAATAATTTATGAAATATTATTAATTAAATTTGTGCAGGGGATCAATGGCTCAAAACTTATATGCAGAGAGCTTAGTGTTAACCTCAGCCACATTTGTTGCTGCTATGACTAATCTCATTCCTGCAATCACTTTTATTCTCGCAATATTCTTTAGGTAATAAATATATAACTTTTTATTATTATTATTATTTTGTTATTTTTAAATAAAAAAAAATTGTTATATATTATTATTTTTCTTTTTTAATTAATAAAAAAAGGATGGAGAGAGTGGGATTAAAGACGATGGCAGGAAAAGCTAAAGTGGTGGGAACAACGATGTGCATTGGTGGCGCGATGCTGTTGACTTTTTTCAAGGGGTGTGAAGTCAACATCTGGTCAACGCACTTTGACCTCCTGCACAAACACCAACACCCAGGCGGACACGTGGCGGCAGCACAACGCAAGCCTATTAATAACGTGTTGGGACCTTTGCTTGCACTCGTTTGTTGCCTCTCCGCATCAATTTCCTTGATTATTCAGGTTAATTTTTTATCTTTATTTAATTTTTTATATTTAAATTTAAACATTCGGAAAAATTTATTTTTTTTAAAGTGAAAAACTAATTCTAATTTTGCTTTTAAAAAATTATGAAAAATCAAAAAACATGATTTCAAAAATTGAATTTTTTTTTTATCAAAATTGGAGTTTTTGGATCGAGTTTTTGGATCGAAAGCGGCACGAATTCGAAAATTCTATTTTTATGTACATGTCGTAACATATGAAAAAAAATATTGGTATTACATTTATTTCTAAGGGATTTTTGAAATTAAAATCGAATCCAATTATGACAAATAAAAAAAAAAACTAAACATAATCGGTAATCAATAATTTTTTAATTCGGAATGAATTTTTTTTAAGAAAATCAAAAAATATTCTGATCGGAGCAAAAAATGGAAATTAAATTCCGATTTCCTCCCGTACTTCAACGTAATATATTTATATAATTATTAATTAACTTTTTTTTTTTTAATTTTTTTCTAGAAAATCAATATTTTTTAAATTTGAAACGAAAATTATTGTTAGAAAATCTAAAATATTCAAATCGGAGCGAAAATCAAAAAATTCAATTCCGATTTCTTCCCCTACTTTAACGTAATATAAATAATTATTAATTAATTTATTTATTTTTGGGATTTGGAATTAACAGGCTAAAATGAGTGAGGAATACCCATGCCATTATTCAAGCACTGCATTAATATCTGTAATGGGATCTTTTCAAGCTGTTGTTTTTGCTCTTTTTACTGAAAAGGATTTTAGCCAATGGAAACTTGGCTGGAACCTCAGACTTCTTACAGTTGCTTATATGGTATTTATTCTTTCTTTAATTACTTCTTACAATATTATATTATTACACAAATTAAATATATAATATTTATATATATATATACGTATACAATAATTATATTTATTTATTTATTTTCTTTAACATATATACAGTAGAACCTCGATAAATTAATAACCTCGTTTAAATAATAATTTCTTCTGGTTCCGACTCGGTAGATAATTTAATATTTCGCTAAATTAATAAAATTTTGTTAGTCCCGACTGCATTAATTTAATTGCATATATATTGGTAGGGAATTGTGGCATCGGGACTGATGTGGGCATTCATCATGTCATGCGTAAGGATGAGGGGCCCGTTGTTCGTTTCGGTTTTTAATCCACTTTTGCTTGTGCTCGTCGCACTTGCGGGCTCGTTGCTTCTCAACGAGAAATTACACTTAGGAAGGTATTAGTACTATTTATTTCATATTTTAGAGGGCTTAAATTATTGAAAACTTTATTTTTGCTGATTAAATATATTAATTGGTGACAGTGTTATAGGAGCTGCAATAATAATATGTGGATTGTACACAGTTTTGTGGGGGAAAAGCAAAGAAGTGAAGAAGATCACTCGGCTTGTTCCGACGAAAAGTTTTGCTAATACTACTACGGAAGACCAAACAGATATTCGTCGAGAAAACGAAGAAATTGATGCCACGTCGTCGGAAATTGGCGTCAAAGGTCTTAATAATAGTAACGGTGGCGACGTAGTTAACGTCATGTCGGTGACTCCAAATTTCTTCCCGGATTTCGAAATATTAGAAGTTTTTGACGAAGAAGAAGAAGAACAAGATTTAGAAGCTTCTAAAGTTCCCAAAACTGAAATCAAACCCTAATTAATTGTGAAACCCTAGCTATAGTCTTTATGTTGTATATTTGAAAAAACATAATGCAATATGATTTATATTCTTTCTAACATTGAGAACAAGCAAAAAAAAAAAAAAAAAAAGAAAAAAAAAGGTGTTGACGTTTGATGAAATTAGCTTGACTTTTGGTCCAAGTGTTCTTGAATTCAAGTTTTTTTTAATAAAAAAGTATTAATATATTAAGTTGTCGTATCTATACTTGAATGGAAGAATTTCGATTTGAAAAAAAATAAAATAGTTCCAAATAAAAATAATTTTAATTCTACCATAATAATCGAAAAATTAGTTCGAGCCAAGAACTAAGAATTTAATTTCATTGCATAAAATTAAAGGATAATTTGATAAAGTCCCCCATTACACAAGGTCATTACGTTAGGCCCAAATTTATTTCTCATTTTTAAGATAAATCCAAAAGAGTTTTAATTAATTAAAAACCCTTAATTATCATTATTATGCCCCTAACTAATTAATACACGTTGTAGACACATAAAATTAATTAATTGGTTAATTAAATTAGTCAATTAAATTGTGTCTAAATTAAATTATAATTTATCTTACAAAATAAGTTATGGAGATAATTATCAATTAATTATTGGCCAATAGGATTATTTCTCTCTTCCAAGTTATAAGAGATAAATATCAATTTAAATAGAGCCAATCAAATTGCGCCACGTCATCAAGAAGACTTAAAGTAAGACTCTTATTCTACCACTATAAATAGGGACCCTCTGTACACAATTCAAAACACAACCCAAGAAGGAGAAAAACCGTAGGAGAAAATTCTCTCTACAATATTCAAGTCATTCTTCATCAAATCTAAGGCGTTCTTCATCAAATCGAGGGCGTTCTTCAACAAATCAAGATCGAAGGAAGATTGAAGGGCCAAATCCATCAAGAACTCCAAGATCTTCAAGTCAAAACCCGTCAAAGTTCAACAAATCAAGATCGAAGGAAGATTGAAGGGCCAAATCCATCAAGAACTCCAAGATCTTCAAGTCAAAACCCGTCAAAGTTCAGCGTTCGATCCGAGATTCAAGTCGCATGACCCTTGGAAGACGTTATTCAAATCCAAATCAAATCCGGAGAAGATCAAGTCAACGACCCGACTCCAAAATTCAAAGTCAAACACATGTTGTTCTTGAGAGAAGAATCAGAGGATTAAATTATAGTTTGTAGCCCGCAATATTTTATTTTAATTCAATAAATTATTTTTGTGCAAGTTTTTCTTGTTTGTCTAAATCGCAGATAAGAATTTGTTGCTACACACGTGTTTTAATATCTCTTATTAGAGAAGATATATAATATCTTCTACATAAATATTTTAATGAACATTTTCTCAATTAATTCCACCATTAACGCTTATTAATTGTACATTTCCATTTATGTGGAATTGAAATTGTAACTCGCATAAATAATAATATGTGTGTCTCATTTGGATAAGTGGCGGCCGTGCAAATTTACATGGTGGTTTTCGGCTCACATGCATGAGAATTTAAGATGAGTTATATGTGAGGTTTTGTATTGATTTACGTTGGACAGTAATTCGTATGTGTATGTACACGTTTTGTTGATATATATAAGATTTGTATGTGTCTGGTGCACTGTACACGTTGTGTTGATGCTTAAACAAATGTAAGAGTGGTTTTTGCACATAGAGTGATTTTTGTACACAGAGTGGCTTTCGCGCACAGAGTGGTTTTCGCGCGCAGAGTGGTTTCCGCCCTTCCCTTATTAAATCCATGGACTTTGACCTTCCCATTTATTGAATCCACTATTGTGCAAAATGAATTTTGCCATTTCCACTGTCATTACGTCACTTTTTTTTTACCGAAAAAGCTTGTGTGGTGTTGAACCAATATATGTATGTTGTTTGCCCTAAAGAGAAGAAGTTTTTGTCCGAAAATAATAGTAGATTTTCTTACAGTATACGTGAAGCCATTGATGCAATATTTGGAGATCGAGAGAAAAAAGATGAAATGAATTTTCGAGATACTGGAAAAGTTGGGGGTTAGATTTGTGGAGAGATGGAGAAATATTGGGAGGATTTTAAGGAAAGAAATATTAGGATGATTTTTAGGTAATGCGATTTTGGAAGAGATTCTGCATTTAATTCATCGTATTTTTTATTTAAAATAATTATACTAATTAGTAGGGGCATATAAGGTTTTTTAGCCCCAATGAATTTATGTTAAATATCAATTATAAATTAAGGACTTATCAAGAAGTAAAATTTCAATGGAGGGTGTTTAAGAAAAATAGCCCCTTATAAAATTAAACCTCAAGTTCTCAATTTGTGAGCCAAGCTCAAGTGGGTGTTGACATATTTGGTGAGCTCGAGCTCGAGCTCATCGAATTTATTTTTATTGAGCTTGAGGTCGAGATCATCTATTTTTTTTTTCTTTATCAACTTCCATATTAAATATTACTGAAATGCTATTCATAGTGCAATTTTTACCGCCTTGCAGTGCGATTTATTTCATTTGTAACTTTCCTTAAAAAAAAAACAAATTCGCCCGCTATTTCGTGTATTATTACACGAAATCCACTCAATAATTTCGTGTATTGTTACACGAAATATAAGTGTTTATTGTTATAGAACACGAAGGACGAAACTGTTAGATTGAAAAAATTCGTGTATTTCGTGTAATTAATAATACACGAAATTGTACATCATATTTCGTGGAGTTTTCCACGAAATCATACATTATATTTCGTAGATTTTTTCACGAAATATAATGTAATGTTTCGTGAAATTCAGTACGAAATCACTAATTGATTTCTTTTTTAATTAACCAATTTATTTCAGACACTCAAATTGACCTAAAAATTCAAATACAAATACAAATTAAACTAGAATTCAAATACAACTACAAATTGATCTAAATTTCAAATACAAAATTGACCTAAAAATTCAAATACAAATACAAATTGAACTAGAATTCAAATACAACTACAAATTGATCTAAATTTCAAATACAAATACAAATTCAACTAGATTTCAGATACAACTACAAATTGATCTAAATTTCAAATACAAATACAAGTTGAACTAGAATTCAAATACAACTACAAATTGAACTACCGACCAGACTTTAATTGTTCGTACAAGAGTAGTCGGGGTTTGTACATTTTGAGTAAGTGCCTCAAGTTTTTAGCTCTATGGTGTACCCATGCCGAATGGATTGGTGGTAGAGGACTATTCGCGACCAAATTAACAAACATGAAATGATTGTTGTGCAATGTCACAACAATCATACATGATAAGTGACCACTGCCAAACATATGAAGGTAAGTCATACTCCATACTTGAGTCAAAAGTACCACTAATGCATTGTATCTGGTAGCAATGGCCAATCCCATTTCATTCATGTACATCCAATAAGCTTGTGGACAAGGCCCTGAGGTCCAGTCACACTTGTGTATGACCTCAACGTATCCGGTGCTGCCAAACATCGCCGTGCACACATTAGCATGCTCGTATAACTCAATAAGCAACTCCCCTCTCACTTGCGGCCATCTTTCTTGATCCCCGTACACGGCTTGAGCAACGCACCGGTACCCACAGTTGCCATCTGCCATCATGTTAACATAATCTTGAATAAGACGGACCATAAATCTGGGCACGAAAGAATAAAAGTCGATTCATTCATGTACAGGTATTGTAGGGGCAGCAGATTCTTGTGTGGGAATACGAGAACCACGACCTTTCATCTTCGATAGAGGCGTTCCATTAGTGCTTCTTGTTGGGTTTCGGGCACGTGTACGCAGCGGAAAACAAAAATTTAATGTGATTTAAACGACTTTAAAGCACACAAGCACATGCCCGACAAATTAAAATCAATTAATTGCGTACCTTTGCGCTTCCAGCGAAAATAAAAACAACATACATGCTAAATAATTTAACCGAATTTAAATCAATTAACATGCTCGCGTTTAAACCAATAATCATGCTTGCAACGATTAAAACGATTACACATAATCACATAAAATCACATGATAGCAAACATGAATTCATAGTTTAAACCTAAACGAACCGAAACTAGGGTTTCGTGTATTTACCTCTTGAAGCGTGAGGTAGGAGCGTTTAGCAAGTCGAGATTGCTACGGAAACCAATCCGTACAATCGGGGCAGCAGCGGTGCAGCGGCAGCAGCAGCAATTCGGCCACGGCGGCGCGTGAGGTACACGCGCGGTCTTCCGGGGCGGCGCGTGGGGCAGCGTGCGGCTTCGGCTCGTGCGCTGCTCTTCGATTCCTCGATCTTCGGTCTTCCTCCTCTCGGATTTCACCTCGTATACTTCAATCTACTAAAACGTGGCACTAGACACGAAGTAGTTAGGATAAAACGGAAGAAACGAAAAGAGGAAAAGATTACCGAAAGGGATCGGCCAACGGAGGGCCGATTCCGGTGATTCTCCGGCGACGACGGCGCGGTGGCCGAGGAGAGAGAGGGCCGAGAGAGAGAGGGTGTGAGCGGCTAGGGTTAGGGTATTTGTTGTGTGTATGTGCAAGGCCTATAAATCAAGTATTTATAGTCCCTTGCATAAAACCCTAGCGGGCTTAAGTTGGACCGGGCCCAACAGCTTAAGCTCGTTAGTTCCTTTACTTGCTCGTCTCTCTCAATTCAATGATCGGAAAATTGTAACAATTACATATTCGGATTCATTATAATGTCCTCGTCATTACGAGTGCCATCTTTCATTTTCCAACTTTCCAAAAGTGGAAACCCTAGTTCAGTGGACTTTCTAAATTTGGAAACTTCCCGATTTAGAAAGTTCACTAACACGTTCGCCTATTCTTTTCCCTTTCTTATTCTCATTCATAATTCCAAATTACGAATGTTGGACCCAATCATATTGACTTCCAATCATGCAAAGATAAACCATTTTATCTCTGACCGTTTATTCAAAGATCTCATGTGCACGAGCAGTGTGACCCTCGATGGTTCAGGTGTAAGCTAGCCGTGGGCCCACAACTCTTTGTGGTCAAAACTCGTCCCTTAGAGTTACGATTAAGATGAAGCTCGTTTCACCTTAATCACCCAACGAATCAAGATTGGCGTCTAACAACTACGCGTCATGATTCCCTAGATACAAATGAAGTGCCTGCAAGAACCTTCAGATATAGTTAACGTACAGTACGGTCCCTTCGATACATATGTCCCGATCGAACTAGAGGCATTGGTTCATCGAGACCTCTTTATATGTTCGATGACGGTGCGATCGTTCCAAGTGTTGTAATCGTCACGTGCATGACTTAGAGAATCGAATTTTGTAATCATCACTTAGTCAGCTCTGGCCATAGACTAAGAATGATTACAAACTTTCAGAACACACAGGACATCCAAGACTATTCTAGCGATCGAATCCCCGACTACAATGCACAGACCTCCCACTAGATTTCGGACTGCACGAACACTGGCCCTTGGGATGGTCCTCGGTGGAACTCAGGGACAGGTCACGATACAGCTGGTCCTCTAGTGAAGTCACGGTGATGTCTAGGTCATAAGGACTAATGGTGTACAACTATACCATAGATATCTCTACTCGATTATTGGGAACCACTTAGAGATTTCTAGGGTGAGGGAGTTCAGTGAACTCGTCAACTTACGAGCACCCACTTATGCATGCCGATATCACAATACCGTTTACTGATGAGATGCAGTACACATACACTAAGTGCTAGTCTTAATGGGAAAGGCCGATATCCTCATTAGTGGCGTAACCCTTCGACTAGGAACACGTTTAACAGTTATAATACTTAAGTAAATATCTCACAATCCTAACGATCAATTACCAGTACTTGTAATAACTGTAAGGACTATATCTATGCTTGTGACAAAGGGACAAAGATATAGAATGCCAATGTGTTTTATCATTAATACGAATAAAGGTTCGTTTATTACAAAATAAATACGAAAGACCACAGCCACAGGTTGGCTTGTTGGTCACCTACTCTAACAATCTCCCACTTGACCTAAAGCCAACTACCCATAAACCGCAATCCCATCGACTCTCGATGTTTCTCATGGACCGATCTTGGTAAAGGCTTCGTGAAGGGGTCTGCAACGTTCTCTTCCGAGGTGACTCGTTCTACCTTAACTTCACCTCTATCAATGATCTCTCGGATCACGTGATACTTCCTCAGAATATGCTTCGACTTCTGATGAATTTCCTTATCCAAGTCCCTTCTTTTGCAGCTTCAGACGCTGCAATGTATTCCGCTTCGGTAGTGGAATCGGCCGTCGTGCTTTGCTTGGAACTCTTCCAACACACGGCACCACCATTAAGCGTGAATATAAATCCAGAATTAAACTTTGAGTCGTCCACGTCCGATTGAAAACTAGAGTCAGTGAAACCCTCCAATTTCAACTCGGCACCCCCATAGACCAAAAATATATCCTTAGTCCTTCGCAAGTACTTGAGGATATCTTTCACGGCTTTCCAGTGAGCCGGGCCGGGGTTAGACTGATATCTGCTTGTGACACTCACAACATACGCAATATCGGGTCTCGTACATAGCATGCCATACATTATGCTTCCTATGGCAGAAGCATAAGGCGTCCTTTTCATCTCCTCGATTTCATTAGGTGTTTGCGGACACATAGATTTCGAGAGACGAACCCCATGGGACATTGGCAAGAATCCCTTCTTGGATTCTTCCATGCTAAACCGTTTCATAACGGTGTCTATGTACAGGCTTTGGGATAAGCCAAGCATCTTTCTCGCTCTATCTCTATAGATGCGTATTCCTAATACGTAAGATGCTTCTCCCAAATCCTTCATTGAGAAACGCGTGGACAACCATGCTTTCGTTTGCTGCAACATTCCTACGTCATTCCCAATGAGTAGAATGTCATCAACGTAAAGCACTAAAAATATCACTGCCCTCCCACTAACCTTCTTGTATACACAAGGTTCCTCCGGATTCTTCTCAAAATCAAACTCTTTGATAGTTGAGTCGAACCTAATGTTCCAACTACGGGATGCTTGCTTCAATCCATAAATGGATCGCTGGAGCTTGCAAACCTTTTGCTCACTTCCAGAAGATATGAAGCCTTCCGGCTGCGCCATGTAAATTTCTTCCTCAATATCTCCATTAAGGAAGGCGGTCTTCACATCCATTTGCCATATCTCGTAGTCGTACCACGCAGCTATGGCCAGCAAAATCCTAATGGACTTCAGCATCGCGACTGGCGAAAAGGTTTCCTCATAGTCAACACCTTGCCTTTGAGTGTATCATTTTGCTACCAATCTAGCTTTATAGGTCGATACCTTTCCATCCACTCCAATTTTCCTTTTATAGATCCATTTGCAGCCTATAGGAACAATTCCTTTGGGTGGATCTACCAAGGTCCATACCTTGTTGGAGTACATGGAGTCCATTTCGGATTTCATGGCAGTTAGCCAATGTCCCATGTCCGCATCCGATACGGCCTCATTGTATGTTCTTGGATCTCGTCCAAGATCAACATGATCTTCATCATTTTCGAGGAGGAATAACCTATCCGGCATTTTCCGAACTCTTTCGGATCTACGTACCGTAGGTTCAGGAGGTATATTAGTGGTTTGTTGTATTGGTTCGATTACTTGTTCTTGCGTTTGAACTTCACTTTGTGGTTCTTGAACTACTTCAAGTTCTATCATGCTGCCCTTTCTATCGGATAGAAACTCCCTTTCCAAAAAGGTGGCATTTCTTGAAACAAACGTCTTTGCTTCTTTGACATAGTAGAACTCGTATCCCATCGAGTCTTCGGGATACCCCACAAAATAGCACAAGTCGGATTTACTATCCAACTTATCTCCCACTAATCGCTTCACATAAGCGAGACAACCCCATATCCTAATATGTTTGTAATTGGGTTTCCGGGAATGCCAAAGTTCATAAGGTGTGGATTTAACTGCTTTGGTGTTAACTCTATTCAGCAAATACGCGGCAGTACGGAGTGCATGACCCCACAAGTATGCCGGTAAGTTTGTGAACCCCGTCATGGATCGAACCATATCTAATAAAGTTCGATTCCGACGTTCGGATACTCCATTAAGTTGAGGAGTTCCCGGTGGAGTCCATTGGGACTGTATCCCATTTTCTTTTAGATAGTCAATGAACTCGATGCTCAAGTATTCTCCACCACGATCGGATCGCAGCTTCTTAATACTTCGTCCGAGTTGCTTTTCTACTTCATGTCTAAAATCTTTGAACTTTTCAAATGTTTCAGACTTGTACTTCATCAAGTACACATACCCATACCTAGAATAATCGTCGGTAAAGGTGGCGAAGTAGTTATATCCACCCTTCGCACTAACACTTAGTGGACCACATACGTCTGTATGGATCAAATCCAAAAGACCCTCGGCTCGTTCCATTTTCCCTTTGTAGGGTGACTTGGTCATTTTCCCTTTAAGACAAGATTCACAAGTTTGTAGTGATTTCACGTCCTCCAAAGAGAACAATGAAATACGTACCCTTTTCAGAACCTTTCTGCTTTAGGTAAGCCTTGCAGTTGCGGCGCCAATGTCCTTTCTTTCCACAGTGATGGCAAGCATCATCAACTTGTTTGCTAACCTTTGCTTTGGGGCCCCCACTACCTTCACCCACTTCGAACTTGCTGTTTGGGAAGGGAACTCTTTCCTTTCTCTTCTTTTGGAAAGAACTCTTCTTTCCAGAAGTAGCAGCAATGAGAACAGACTTCTCTTTCTTAATGGTGGACTCGAAGCTGACCAACATGTTCATTAACTCATCCAAGGGAGGATCTAGTTTGTTCATGTTGAAGTTCACTATGAACGATTCATAGGAACTAGGAAGAGACAACAGGATCAAATCCAACGAGAGCTCGGCCGGGAGGGTGACATCAAGATTCACTAGCTTTTCAAGGAGAGTGATCATTTTGAGACAGTGCTCGTGGACCGAAGTCCCTTCGCGCAGTTTCGCTGTGATCAACTCCTTTGTAGCAGCGTACCTCGATGCCCTAATATTCTCACTATACATGCTATCGAGATGAGCCTTTATATCGAAAGCATGCAAGTGAGACTCATATTTCCTCGCAAGCGCGGGCTCCATGGCGGCTATCATATAGCACCTAGCATGAGTGTCATCTTTCTTCCAAACTTCATAAGTTTCCTTTTCAGCGTCAGTCGCTGTGGCAGGTATAGTGGCGGGAAGCCTCTCGTTCAAAACATAGAGACGCCCCTCAACAGTTAGCACAAGCTTAAGACTACGCAACCAATCTAGGTAATTAGGGCCATTGAGTTTATTGTCGAGGATTGACATTATGGGATTCTTAGACATAATTATCTGAGACATATAGAGAAGAGGATTATTAGAGATTCGCGTTAAATGATTGTTACAATTAAATGTTTGGACTTATGTTATTTAATTGTTCTCCCACTAATTTTATCGAGTTCCACTTCCCTCTAGTAGACAAACGAGAAAACTGATTTTTCTTAATGGGCTTTAGGTCCAATAGACAAATATAACCCGTAGTTAATCTAGCCCGATTATATTTGCCCAAAGGTAGATCGCAATCAATCATATCCACAATATGACCCTAAATTAATTTTCCTCACACTTGATAATGACCTAAGTTAATCTCGCGAATATCAAAATCGTTGTGTGTCAAGTCTAACCTACCAATCAAAGATGCTCATAGAACTTGATTATGCCAAACTAATGCAGTCCCTAGTTAATCTAGCCGACCACGTTAATTCAACATAACCCTTTTCTATGGCTACCTTCATCGCTATGTCAATTGAATTACAGCTTACTCCACCATAGCACTCCCCGCTAACACGGCTTACTGCACTACAGTGAAGGGCTACACATAATCCAACCGTTGGCAGAAGGAAAGAAATAACTCAACAGATTGGGTATTTCTTTATAGCTTGAAATAATTCTTAATTAGATTAAGAATGAGGGATTTTTATTAAAATGTTTTATCTCATCAGAAGGTTTGGATTGGTCTATGTGATTCCTACATCTATGTTCTCTAAAGGTATATGGAAGCGCATATTGTCCTAAGAGGAACATATGACCTAATTTCATAATTAATTACATTAATTAATTATCGAGTTTTCAAAATAATTATAGAACCTCAACTAGCATAAATCATTCAAATAATGTTGAGGTACTACCAATTAAGTTGAATTTATAATCAATATTATATATGTGTTCTATTAATTGAAATCAATTTAACAATTTAAATCAATTTAATTAATCTAACACCTATTTACTAAAATAGATGATTGTCGATCCAATTATCTAATTGGGATTAATTGAAAATAATTTTCCAAAAATTAAAATCAATTTGTTTTAAGTTTAATTTTAGAAATCTGAATTTTTTTTTTATTTTTTTTTTATTTTCAGTGAACCGGTTCGGCCCAACCGGTCTGACCGGTTCGGACCGAAGCGGTCCGGTTCTGCCCGGTCCAGCTGACCCAAATCAGTGGGCCGGGTCAGTCGGACCGAGAACCGGTCTGACCGACCCGAATCCACGTGGATTCGGTCAACTAAATCGTGCACAACCATCGAACCGGCCGGTTCGACCGGTTCGATCCGAACAATTAAAAATCCGACATTTTTAAAACAATTTCAGATCCGATTTTCCAATTTTAAACAATTTTAAAGCTGGAAAAATTCTAAACAATATTTCGAAAATATTTTAAACTTACGAAAACTCCCAATTACATAATACAACAATCACTACTTTAATAAATCGAACATGCATAAAATCATAGCATATTATACAACGCAATTAATTACGCAACGAGCTCTGATACCACTGTTGGGTTTCGGGCACGTGTACGCAGCGGAAAACAAAAATTTAATGTGATTTAAACGACTTTAAAGCACACAAGCACATGCCCGACAAATTAAAATCAATTAATTGCGTACCTTTACGCTTCCAGCGAAAATAAAAACAACATACATGCTAAATAATTTAACCGAATTTAAATCAATTAACATGCTCGCGTTTAAACCAATAATCATACTTGCAACGATTAAAACGATTACACATAATCACATAAAATCACATGATAGCAAACATGAATTCATAGTTTAAACCTAAACGAACCGAAACTAGGGTTTCGTGTATTTACCTCTTGAAGCGTGAGGTAGGAGCGTTTAGCAAGTCGAGATTGCTACGGAAACCAATCCGTACAATCAGGGCAGCAGCGGTGCAGCGGCAGCAGCAGCAATTCGGCCACGGCGGCGCGTGAGGTACACGCGCGGTCTTCCGGGGCGGCGCGTGGGGCAGCGTGCGGCTTCGGCTCGTGCGCTGCTCTTCGATTCCTCGATCTTCGGTCTTCCTCCTCTCGGATTTCACCTCGTATACTTCGATCTACTAAAACGTGGCACTAGACACGAAGTAGTTAGGATAAAACGGAAGAAACGAAAAGAGGAAAAGATTACCGAAAGGGATCGGCCAACGGAGGGCCGATTCCGGTGATTCTCCGGCGACGACGGCGCGGTGGCCGAGGAGAGAGAGGGCCGAGAGAGAGAGGGTGTGAGCGGCTAGGGTTAGGGTATTTGTTGTGTGTATGTGCAAGGCCTATAAATCAAGTATTTATAGTCCCTTGCATAAAACCCTAGCGGGCTTAAGTTGGACCGGGCCCAACAGCTTAAGCTCGTTAGTTCCTTTACTTGCTCGTCTCTCTCAATTCAATGATCGGAAAATTGTAACAATTACATATTCGGATTCATTATAATGTCCTCGTCATTACGAGTGCCATCTTTCATTTTCCAACTTTCCAAAAGTGGAAACCCTAGTTCAGTGGACTTTCTAAATTTGGAAACTTCCCGATTTAGAAAGTTCACTAACACGTTCGCCTATTCTTTTCCTTTTCTTATTCTCATTCATAATTCCAAATTACGAATGTTGGACCCAATCATATTGACTTCCAATCATGCAAAGATAAACCATTTTATCTCTGACCGTTTATTCAAAGATCTCATGTGCACGAGCAGTGTGACCCTCGATGGTTCAGGTGTAAGCTAGCCGTGGGCCCACAACTCTTTGTGGTCAAAACTCGTCCCTTAGAGTTACGATTAAGATGAAGCTCGTTTCACCTTAATCACCCAACGAATCAAGATTGGCGTCTAGCAACTACGCGTCATGATTCCCTAGATACAAATGAAGTGCCTGCAAGAACCTTCAGATATAGTTAACGTACAGTACGGTCCCTTCGATACATATGTCCCGATCGAACTAGAGGCATTGGTTCATCGAGACCTCTTTATATGTTCGATGACGGTGCGATCGTTCCAAGTGTTGTAATCGTCACGTGCATGACTTAGAGAATCGAATTCTCTAATCATCACTTAGTCAGCTCTGGCCATAGACTTAGAATGATTACAAACTTTCAGAACACACAGGACATCCAAGACTATTCTAGCGATCGAATCCCCGACTACAATGCACAGACCTCCCACTAGATTTCGGACTGTACGAACACTGGCCCTTGGGATGGTCCTCGGTGGAACTCAGGGACAGGTCACGATACAGCTGGTCCTCTAGTGAAGTCACGGTGATGTCTAGGTCATAAGGACTAATGGTGTACAACTATACCATAGATATCTCTACTCGATTATTGGGAACCACTTAGAGATTTCTAGGGTGAGGGAGTTCAGTGAACTCGTCAACTTACGAGCACCCACTTATGCATGCCGATATCACAATACCGTTTACTGATGAGATGCAGTACACATACACTAAGTGCTAGTCTTAATGGGAAAGGCCGATATCCTCATTAGTGGCGTAACCCTTCGACTAGGAACACGTTTAACAGTTATAATACTTAAGTAAATATCTCACAATCCTAACGATCAATTACCAGTACTTGTAATAACTGTAAGGACTATATCTATGCTTGTGACAAAGGGACAAAGATATAGAATGCCAATGTGTTTTATCATTAATACGAATAAAGGTTCGTTTATTACAATAATAAATACGAAAGACCACAGCCACAGGTTGGCTTGTTGGTCACCTACTCTAACACTTCTCTCAACCTTTGCTTTAGGAATCTTTGCACCAGATGAGGTTTGGCAACCCTTGGAACCACAAGACGACTTAATTGTCTCCTCATCAATATGATACTGCCATCCGGATGGGTCTCTCTTTGTCGAGTTATTCTTTGGTCGTCCTTTGGTCTTAACAAATGATGGCTCGGACAGATGCGACGTAGACGGATAAACGATGCCACGCAATGAGGCAACGACATTTATCTTACTCGTGTAATTCATCTTCTTCAAATTGCAATTCAGGTCATCAATCTGTCTATCCACAATCTCCTCGCGGTTTACTTGATACTCAGGTAGCTCCGAAGGCTCAACTGCCATGGTACTCCAGAATAGATGCAAGTCTGAAATGACGAACGTGTCATTATCTTCCATTTTCTGCACAATTTTGCACGCGCATGGGAGCCCATGAGTATTCCAAAGATATTGTGTGCAAATACTCGGATCTTGCATCGCCGGGGACTCCATCTCTTGATCAAATTTCTCTAATGCCAGATGCGTAACATAACAAATCAAACCCTGAAAACACGGCCATGCTGCAGTATGCTTCCTTATCTTGGATGATAATGAAAAATCGCACTTTAGCTGACTAATTTGGATATAAACTTGGTCCCGAAGTTTGCCTTGCACGTTATCCAGACCTCTGGTCGAAGCATTTAACCAACCATTCGCTGAAGAATGAGCACTCTCCACCCTATCCAATTACAACAACAATCAAAGCATACAACGACAATCAAATTACAAAATAAATATTATTTTTATATAATATATTTTATCATTTAAATAACTAAAACATGTAATACTTGTTGGTGTCCGTGTTGCCAAAATGATACACATTGCGAGTATAGGCTCGAACAAACTTCTCCTTGTATATCAACCACGTATCATTCAAATACTGTATCAGTCTAGGATACCCTGCATATCGTCCAACAATTTCATTGTAATTGTAATGATACTCTTCTTCGGTTTCTGACTTCACCAGCTTAGCCCACAGCACACGTCGGAATATTAGACCTTGGTCTTTGTTGCCTCCCATAAATTTCGTCGCATTTGCCTCAACATTTCTGTTTATATGGAATATACACAGCATATGATACGAAAATGGGAAGACATTTGGCAGTGCTTTCAAAAGACCCAAATCCCTGTCTGTCAAGATCGCATCAGATTCGACACTATCTAGCAACTCTTTCAAACAATTCAAAGTCCACTCGTAGGTGTCTGCATCTTCATGCGACATAAATGCAACAACAATTGTAAAATTCCTCCCAACTGAAGTTATCCCAATTATTTCCAAAAGAGGCATAGCATACCTACAACAATGTTGTTTTTACATATTTAAACAATACAATACATTAAAACACAATAATCATAATTTAAACAATCGTAATTTTTACTTACTTATTGGTTTTGTATGTGCAGTCCATCGATATAACATACGGGAACAGCCGTAGTAACTTAATAGATTCGGGACATGCAAACATAATATCTGTAATCGTGTTGCTCGTTTCACTATCGACGCGATGCCAATATCGATACTCGCCTTGTTGAAAGTTATGCATCATAAACTGAATAACAGTCATGCCCTCCATTTCCTCAAATTTAATCTTGGTCAACTCATTGTAAACATGCTTCATAGAGGTTTGTATCGTCGGATCATCTTTCCTCAATCTATCCATGATTAGCATTGGCTTCACGTGAGAATTTCGCAATTCTTTAATTCTTGCTTTCTGTTGTGAAGTTATACGACTAGTCGTACCTTGTCCGTGAGGAAACAAAGCCGGACGATGAGTATGCCTGCCATCGCTGACAGTCAACCGCCATAATTCATCAAACCTTGACTTTTTGCCAATCAATTTGAACGGACAACCACATTTTTTTGTTCCAGTGTTTCTAGGATCTTCTACATCGATATTCGTTTGTCGGCCATGTTCGTATTTGTCACACGTCAAGTACTGTGCATTCTCCCTTCTAGACTGACAAATCAAACGGTGACAATGACTAACTGCAGTTGCTTTGGTCCAGTTGATTAATTCTTCCCTACTACCGAACACAATATCAACTTGAAAGAAGTGAGAGAAATCTTCATATTCATTTTGATCCAAACCAAGGGATCAAAATACAAATTGTTTTCATATGGCTGCGTAAATACAAAAAAAAGTTAGATACTTGCACACAAAAAAAAAAAAAAAAAAAAATACTAGGTATTTCGTGTAAAAGTACACGAAATTAATGTATACATTTCGTGTAGTACTGTACGAAATGAATAACAAAACAGTTTATTGTTGTTTCTTGTGACTTTACACGAAATAAGAGGTATAATTTCGTAGTATTGTACACGAAATGACTGGAAAACACGAATAAGGTGTTAATTTCGTGCAAAACACCACGAAACGACTTGAATAATTTCGTGATATTCTACACGAAACGACTGAAAATCGAAAAAAATCACACTAAAACGTAATTTTTTACCTCATTTACGGGATCGATATTGGCCATCTTGATAATCGTTGGGTTTTAATGATTTCTACGATAACAAATCACGATCTACAAAAGTCGAAATATTTGGAGGTTGAGAGAATTTTGTAAGAGGTTAAAGTGTTTTTTGACAAATGAATTATTTCGCACTGTAGCTGGAAAAAAACCGCACTATGAATAGTAAACCCCGATTATTATAATTTATTATTATGATTAAAAAAGGGATTTGCTTTTTACCGTTTGAAAATTGCTATTTACCGTTCAAAGACTCTCTCTCTCTCTCTAAAAAAAATCGCTCTCAAGACGATTTAATCACAAATCATTCTTATTGGTGTGATATACGAACATAAATGAGTTCATCGGATGAAGAACTGGATAGCGGACACAGTGAGGTAAAAATTCCGTCTTTCGATCGAAAAAAATGGGGTAAACGTTTAAAAGCC